CAGCGAGCTAGGCCCGGCACAAGCTAGCTTGGAGGAAGCTTCAAAAGAGAGTGGTGTAGTAATTTCGTCCAACGAGTTAAAAAAGATCGGTTCGGAGATCAAAGAAGCGTTCCAAAATATAGGAGACGCCATCAGTGAGGCACTTTCACCTGGACAGGGAGAGCAGTTCGTGCAAAGCTTTATGGAAGGCGTCACCGCCGGCATGGAAAATGAAGCCGGAAAAGAAACCGGTGAAGCTGATAAGGAGAAGGAATCATTGGAGGAAGGAGGTGCTCCTTCATCGGGGGAAGGAGGTGCTCCTTCATCTGGGGAAGGAGAAGGAGGTGTTGATGGTCCTTCATCAGGTGAAGGCTGAAGGAGATGCTGATGGTCCTTCATCAGGGGATGAAAGAGAAGCTTCTTCTTCTCCATCAGGCGATCGCAATGCCCCTTCACCAGGGGATGGTGAAAAAGCTGCATCTTCACCAACGAAATGAACGACGTTGAATAAATTGCTCCTAAACATGCACTTGCAATGCATGGATATACGTAAAGGCTTCATAAAACCATAATAAAATCATTAATCTATGTTCATTTAATTTATTTATTAAAAATTTTCAGAAAATGTTTTATATAATTATTTTTTCATGTCGCAGCTTTTATCAATGCACTTCTAGAGAATTTTAAGTTATAAAAAAGTCCCAACAATACATTATAATTAAATTCATATTTTTTGGGTATAAATTATTTGAAAAAAATATTAATTATCTCAAATCTAGATGAAATTTAATGTCTATAGTGGTTCCTCTTTACTCCTATTCAAAATTACAAACCCTAATCGTAACTTCAGATCCACCGTCACCTCCTATCGAAACCAACACTAAAACCAAAAAAAAATATTCCAAAATATGAGTATAAAATTTTATTACTTAATTTTTAAAAAATAAAAATAAAAAATTTCTTATTTTTCTCTTTTTTCCCTGCACACCAAACAAATTTTAATAGTTTTTTTCCAAAATATGGTACGTAGTTGTTCCACTCCTCCCCTTAATGCATCAGCCTCGGATCGATGAGTCCTTTTGTCAATTCCTTCTAGTAGGTGATGGATCTAAAATTATTTTTGAGAGTATGCATACATATGACATTAATACAAAATTTTTGAAATAGGGTAAACACGAATAAAATTTTAGGACAAACACCATCATCAAAATAAATAATTAAAGAAAATTCGAATTTCAAGATAAATACATGTCTACCTTCAAATGATCCATCACTGCTCCTGATATCAGAGACATATACACTGACCTGTATTGATTATTAATATTGTTCTTAGTATGTTTCATCTGTTATTTGGTCATATATGTATAAGTGATAATGATTGTGAATGTGTATGTACGAATGTAATGTAGTCTAAGGTGCTATTTTTTGTTAGAACAAATATATGATTCCATTATGTAAATGGTTATGACTTGTGAACATAGTTACACTGAGAATGTTTATTTATTTTTATTAATTTGTGGTAAGTACAAGACAGTAACTGTTTAAAGATAAATCTCTCAACCTTTTGATATTGAACACTCAATAAATAACAATAATTTCTTTACCACAAAAGTCGTTTGATTCGTGCGAGAGTGCTTAAAAGTTTTCGATAGAAACCCACTAGTTTTATTAAAAATAGAAAATATCCAGAAATATAATGAAGATTTACGAGCATTACCGTAAATGTAAAATAAATTATAATTAGGACATTTTCTATAATCATTGACACAAAAACTAGTCACTTAGATCACACAAGGACAATAAAGGGAAAAAGTTAAAAAACCTAATCAATGCTCGAACAAAATAAATATACGAATATATCTGACTACATCGGTAAACGAACCACACAAAAGAGGATGAAATTATTAAAAGACCACCGATAAATCGTAAATCAGAGTCAAGTGAAGTGAGAAAACTATCCATAAGCGCAAAACGCGTATCCAAATCAATCCAAGAGTCCAAAGCAGGGAAGATCAACATGATAACAAATAAACGTCATCTTGATTAGTCGTGGTGATGTCAAATCCAACCCTGAAAAAAATAAATGAAAACAACGACCAAATGATCGAAAACTACCAAAAGACAGAGAAAAACGTGCCACAAAAGCATAGATAAATGTGTTATAAAGATAGAGATAAACATGTTACAAAGACAGAATTATTTTTATTAAAAAAACTAAAAAATAAAGAGAAAAGACAATCGACGATAGGCAATCAGTATCAAAACGGTCACGCCGATGGTTAAACAAAATATTTTTTTTTGATTTGATCTATAGAAATTGACACAAGATATAAAGAAAAAAAAAGAAGGGGAGAGAGGGGGAGGGAGAAAGCGATTAGTGTCTGGAATGCTTAAAAGTTAATAAGGCCATTAAGGTGGGAAAATGTCTTAAATGGAAGTCATAGCATGTATGACCAATTGAACTATGATAAGTTATCTTAGCTAGAATTCATCAATCGATCTTAATAAAAAATATTTATCTCCTTAAAAATTTTAAGTTGAAGCGGAAATAAATAAATTAGATAACTCATATATAATGGGGTAAGCGGAGATATTCTGAATAGATATAATCATTTGAAATTATTAAAGAAAATTATCCTACGATAATTTTAAAAAATAGTGTGAATATTTACGACATGTGTGCTATGAAAAATGCCTACAATAAGTATACTACTTAGAGTCTTCTTCTTTAAAACACGTGTACGGTCACCCTCGCTGTCGTGAACAAAAACCAAGGACAATCTTACACGTGTATGGCCATTATAAAGCAGACCAGTCGACAAGCCCTTAAAATTCTACGTAGAAACCGCTTTAGAAATCCTTAAATATCACCCAATTTTCCATCCTCCAGCATCATCAATAATAATAAACTCTTGTTGTTTGGGATCAAATTTTCAAGTGAAAACATGGCAACGGTTGTGTTGAGCGTCTTATTATCATTTGCCCTCATTCTCTCAACACAACCCGTTGCAGCACATGAGGAGAAAATCACGGAAATGGAGAACAGAGAGTTAGGCCCGGCGCAAGTTAGCTTGGAGGAAGCTTCAGTGGAGAGTGGTGAAATAATTTCGTCTGATGAGTTAAAGAAGATTGGCTCGGAGATCAAAGAAGCGTTTCAAAAGATAGGAGACGCCGTCAGTGATGCACTTTCGCCTGGACAGGGAGAGTTCTCCGTTCAGAGTTTCCTCGAAGGCGTCACCTCAGCCGGAAAGGAAAATGATGAAGCTGACAAGGAGAAGGAATCATCAGAGGAAGCTGAAGAAGGTGCTCCTTCATCCGGCGAAGGAGACGCTGATGGTCCGTCATCGGAAAAAGAAGCTTCTTCTCCATCAGGGGACGGCGGTGCTCCTTCAGCAGAGGATGGCAAAGAAGCTTCTTCTCCATCAGAGGAAGGCGATGCTCCGTCACCAGGGAATGCATCTTCACCAAAGGAATGATGGATGCTGAATCACTTGCTCCTAAACAAACACTTGCAATGCATGGATATATGTAAAGGCATAAAGCCATAACAAAACCATTAATCCAATATACTTTGTGCATATATATATTCCTTGAGGGTCACCAACTCGTAAAATTTCAAAAATAATTCTAGTATCAGAAATGGATTTTTCATTATATAAATACAAACATAAAAAGATATAAAAACATCGAGATTCTAACACAAAGGTTGAAATCTCACATCAGCTGATAAAAGGCTTTTAAAGATCGTTTAACGTTAATTTTGAATAGTTTAGAAGTAGTTGCATGGTGGTCAAGCAGGAACAAGAACCCATGCATGTTTCTTGCTAAGCTTAACCAAGCTCCACTATGACCTCCATGGATGGACCGAGGGAGGGTGGTCCTTCGTCCTCTCTGAAATTTTATAAGTTTAAGTTTATTCCTTGAAATTTTAAAATTTAAAGTTAGCTCCCGTGAAATTTTAAAAGTGGCAGACCCAAGAACAGTGGTTAGGACCCGTATAGAATTGTAGGTAAATTATTGTAAAAGAAATATCAAATTCATATTTTACTTAAAATTTAATCTTTTTATTAATGTGCATATCATGAATATAGTGAGAATGGCTAGTGACTAAATTTTAAAAAATCGTAAGATAAATGACCAAACGTAACTTTAAAAAAAAAATCAGTACTTAAATTTATAACATTTTTCTTTAAAACACGTTGAGCTCTCTTACTCGTGTATGGTCATTGGAAGGCAAACCAGTCAGCAGGCCATCAAATTCTTCGCAAGAATCTCTTTCAAAACTTTTTAAACTACATTTTCACCCTAAATCATCATTAGCAATAAAATTATTGTTCTTCGTGTATAGAAGAAGAGAAAAAGTATGGCAAAGATTGCTTTGATTGTCATCTTCCCAGTTGCTTTAGTTCTCTCAATACAATCCGTGGTAGGGCTCGGCGAACAAATCAAAGACTTTCTCGAAACTGAGTCTGGAGATGCTCCCGAGGCGGCGACTTCATCGTTGGGTGATGAAGAACTCTCACCTGAGCAGATAATGAATATTGGTTCTGAGGTCAAAAAGGCCTTCCAAGATATGGACAGCTCTGCCGGTCCGGACGATGAGGGTTCACTAGCTGATAATGTAGCACCTGGCCCTGAACAGGAAGCCGAGTTTTACCTAGGTATTGGAATGGCAATCAAGGCATTCTTGGTTCATCAGGCTGAGGCAAAGAAGACGGGCGCAGCCCTTTCCCCGGGACAGGAGAGGGAGTTTATGGAGAACTTTTTGAAGGGCTTCATGAAATACTTGGAAAAGGAGGCGGAGGAATTCAAAGAAGATAATGCTGATACTATTAAAGAGGATGAACTTTCTCCTGATCAGGTAAAAAATATCGGTTTAGAGATTGAAAAGGCTTTTCAAAGTACAATAACTGTTGCCAGTCCGAACGAGAAGGCTTCGTCGGTTATCGATGTAGCACTTAGCCCCGAACAAGAGTCACTTTCTGGCGGACAGGAAAAGGATTCATCATAAGATGATGAAGCCCTTGCTCCTAACCATAAACTCCAATTGTATTGAGATTTATTTTTAGTTTTACACAACTGTAGCATGGAATTGGTTCTTTTACTCTAATGGGATAACTCCATAATACAGTCTTTAATCATCGACATTTTTTTAATAAACTAACATGATTCACTAAAAGGAACCGAAGAACTTAGTTTGAATCAAAGGATCCTTAATGGAAGATCAGGATATCCAACCTGAGCTTTGTTTCTCTCAAAGAGATCTTGGAGTGCTTTAACAAACTGGTCATGAACTTCCTGGACCTGCGGAGAAAAGATTGGTTCAATGCACATATGTGATTATCTATACCAAGTGTTGCCACATAAAAACAACTGGACCCATCAATGGATACAATTCTATTCCGCTTCTCGAGACTTTTATATATGTCTCAGAGGATTTTAGTTTAACATAGAAATTAGAAAGTAGCCATCAAAATGTTGAACGGCAAGTTTTCTTTTCTCCTTTGACATGCTGAACCCTTGTTCCTTAGCATTACTCACTAAGCAACAGGCATTTATGCAACTGCACCGGGTCGGAGGTTTTTGTCTCATCATGTCAATGGACTCTACGATAATGATAAATTCTACCACCGGTACATTATTAACACAAACCATTGGTGGAAACAAGAGATGAGAAACGATACCTCTTCGGCAGTAGGGTTAGGATTTTTCTTCAACTCAATAGATTTACCCACCACCACATGCATGGGACGCTGATAGGGCAAATGAGTTCTGCCAAAAAAAAAAAGGTTAATGCATTTCAAACAGCTGTAAATAAGCCCATGGTACATCCCGAACATAAAACTTTTATTCTTAGTGTGTTTTTCAACCCACAGTTCTAGCTTTCGTACTATCCTGAGGATGTTCAAGATACCATCAGTTTCCCTCAAGCTTAACTACCAATGACATACAAAACCAAAGAAACTCATTTTTTCTTTAAATGAATCGTTTTTATCGGAAAAATATTGCTTAGGTTTTCATGAGGAATATCTTAAGTTGTTCCCAAATGTTGTCTAGATATCTTGAACTGCAAAAGCATCATCATCAAGGACTCCAGAGTAATGAAAATGTGTAATGTGTTCTTAAGTACTTTTTGAACTTTAAAAATCTACTAAATTAATGTTCAACAAAAGAACATAAAGTGTCCAAATTGAGCATACAATAGAGATAAATTTTATGCATACCCCAAAATTCCCCAAAACAACATTGGAGTGAACTTGAGAGCTCGGGAAAGTTGAAGGAAGAGCTTCCCACGTGGTTTCCACCAGTCGTAGACATATGACTGAAGCACAAGTAAGAAGCAAGAAATTTGGTTAAGGTGATGTAGAATGTGAAAGTTGTAAGAAATGCAACGAGAAAGAAGCTATAAGAACAACAACTGACACGTTTTAGACGGTTCGATCAAGTAAGAAACTATTAGAGTATAAGACCATTCAGTAGTAACAAGTTTATCTTGTAGCAGCTCGATTTTAGACTAGAACGAGTATTTTCAGGAAGAATGCATACAATAAACAAAGAATTACATTTGTAAACGCTAGGATTGATCAATTATGAAGCTGCACAGGTGTGGGGTCAAAGAAAGAAAATAGAAAAAGCATGCATACCTGACCAAAACAAAAAGCAGGGACCAGTGGACACCCTGTTTCAATGGCTATGCGAACAAATCCTCTTCGTGCACTAAGGAAGGCAATCTGTAAGGCAAGAGGTTGTCAAGTTTCCAACATAAATAGACAAAAAGAAAGAGAACAGGAAACAAAAAAAGAGCCCTTTAAATGTTATCTCGGAAGAGATTCATGAATAAAATTGGCTTTAGAAGTGAGTTATCTCGGAAAGGTTAAAAACTTCCTCCCTTAACTAAGAAGTATATAATAATAATAGGGATTCAAAAGAATGAAACCTCAGAACCATGCTCCATCCGAACCGTCTCCTGCACTCCACCAGGCACTACAATACAACTATAACCAGCTTCCAATAGTGAATAAAACGATTTTCTTGATGCTGGTGCGACCCCCAACCATGTCCATATATGCCTCATAAATGGGGTACGGAATGCCTAATCATTCATCCATCACATGTTAAAGGTGAAAGAAATCTCAATCATGATACATGAAATGTGTAGAGCATACGACAATTCGGGGGTTGAAAGGCCTTACAGCGCTGCTAGAAAGGCATTTCATTTTCGGAAGAGGCATGAGACCTGTAAGTTCAGCAAGCGTAACGACTCCGATCGGCAAAACCGAATGAGGCTCGTAACCAATGACTGCAACGTTAGCAAGCTAAGATATATTAGTTTCTCAACATCCGGCGATTCAATCACTGATTAATTCTGTTTGCACGTTTTCTACACAAGAGAGAAAAAGGCAGGGGGAGCTAAAAGGAAGATGAGAAGTAAAAAAATAGATAAACACAATCACAAATAAGCACAGCCAGAGCTACATCAATGAAGTAATGGGGAAAAGCCATAAACTTAGAAATAGCATGACATAAATAAGCAAAAGGAAAAAGAAGGAAACAAACCATAAGCACGATCAGGATTGAAGGCGTCAAAGTCCTCAACATGGAGAGTGGTGGGAAAATAACTGCACATATGCTTACATATATACCTGTTCATTCAGATTATTAAATTTTATGGAAAATATTTAAATTAGGAAAGCTTAAAATTTTCAAAAGTATGACCTCAGCCCCTCGATCCAACGCTAACTACTACTAGAATGATTGGTGGTCATCTATTACCATCTACTAGCCATAGCAATAAGCAAAGAGTAAAGTGTACCTTGACAGCCGCCGGCCGAATTTGCTGTGAGGATCTATGGGAAGAACAATGAAAACCAAAAGAAATCCAACCACCCTGTGAAGATTGAATCAAACAAAACACATGAATTTATTCCAATTAGATTCTTTCTTTTCCAGTAAAAATACAAAGTAAGCTTTTTGAAAGGTAAATAAAAGGAAAAAAGAGGACAAACATGAGGAATATGGGAAAAGGAAGGAAGAGAAAGGAGAAAAGAAGCAAGAAGAAGATGAAGTGCAAAGATCCAAGCCACAGAACAAAAGCTAATATCCCATGAAACATATTCGACGGAAATTCATCTCTTCCATTGAATTTTCGATACCCAGCGCCGGTCGCCGCCTGTCGCTCCTCCCTTTCTTCCGCCATAGACCCAATCCACGAATTGCAAAAGCTTTCAACTGCACCCACTTATGAAGACCAAATGGCCCAAATCATTAGTCAAGCACGACACTTACACGCATCTTCGTTTCCATCGAAAATAAATGTCAGTTGAAAGTCAGAAGCAGACAATATTTTCAACAGTGGTCTGTTTTTTCTTTTACTTTTATTTTTCCCGGAATCACCGTCTCTGTCAGTTAACATTAGGGTAATATTTTGAAAATAAAAAAATCCAAGGTAATATCCGGATAAATTACCCCGCTTTTTCGTAATAAAATTAAATTTTATTTATTTTTAAAAAAAAAATATAAGTAAAACTATTTTTATTTAAAATAAAAAATATCTTAAATTACAACAATAAAGATTTAATATCACAATAGTAAATTAAACATATGATTAGAAAAAATTCTATAATCATTAAAATAAATTTAGCAACTTACGATAACTTAAGGATCATATAAGGAAAGATTAAAAATCTAACCAAGAAACTCGAACAAAGATAGATACAAACAGATCTGATCGTATCGGTAAACGAACCACAAAAGAGATCAAGCTAGTAAAAGATCACCGACAAATTGTAAATCAGACTCGAGCGATGTGAAAAGATATTCACGAACGCAAATCAAGTATCCACGTCCAATCTGAGGGTTTAAAGCATAGAAGATCAACAAGATATCATATAAGCACCATCTTAATCAGCCATGACGATGTCAAATCAATATTTAAAAAAAAGATAAATGAGAAAACGGTCAAACAACCGAAAAGCATGCAAAAAAGTGTAAGAAAACATGTCATAAAGGCAGATAAAACATGTCACACAGACAATCTTAATGAAAAAAAGAAAATAGAGATACAATATAGAAAAATAAAATAGAGATTTGATATAGAAAAAAAAGACAATAAAGAATACTAACGGTCATCAACCAACATTAAAATTGAGAATTAATATTGTTAATGAAATATTTAGGAAAACGAGGTAATTTGTAAGGTGACAAGCGGAATCATCATCAAAGTTTTTTAGGGTATAATAGTATTGTTTTTGATGTTGGTTGTCGACTCTAGATTTTTTAATAAGAATAATTATACTTTTGTAGCACATTTTTTTCTTTTTTTATGACACGTTTTTTGTTTTCTTTCTCAGTCTCTTGGTCGTTCTTCTATTTATGTTTTTTTATGGTTGGATTTGACAATGTCAAGACTGATCAAGATGACGTTTATTTGTAATCACATTGATCTTCCTTGTTATGGACCATCAGATTGAATTTGGGTGCGTGATTTTACATTTGTGAATAGTTTCTCACGATGCTCGGCTCTAATTTGTGATTCTCGATGGTATTTCAAGAACTTAATTATCTTTTATGGTTAGTTTGCCTATGTAATCAGATTTGTTCATATCTATTTTTTGTTCGAGTCTATTGGTTGGTTTTTTAACTTTTTACATGAATGGTATGTATATAATCTATAGTGGCTAATTTCAATGTTATATGAAAATCTTCAAATTATGTATTTAGTATACTACTGTGGCTTCTATATATATATATAAGTAGAACTAGTATATTTGGTCAATTAATAAAGTTGCTCTTCTTTAGTCTTTTATATTCTCTTATGTGTTCTAAATCTACTATGAGCACTCATTATCTTTCCTCTAGAATCCTTTCTTCCCCTACCCGCTATGAAAGATTAGGATTAGATTTAAAATTTGCCAAAATCGACTTCATTTATAGGAGATAATGAGATAAGTTTTTTTTTTTGAATTAAAAGCGTATGCTAAGGGTACCAATGTTGGATTAAAATCCATAATTATGGGTACATATATAATGTATATTGTTATCATAAAATATGGCATATATTAAGTGACCAATTATGTTATAAAGTCGTAAGGTATTAGAAGTATCATGGAAATAAAAATGTAGATACTATTAAAGTTGTATTTATAATTCGATGAGGGGCAGAGTTCTAAGTACAGACAATAACTGGTTTTTAAATCAGTTATATAAAGGGGTTATTGTCCCCAAAAAATAGGAACTCTCGTATTTACTCTTATCCCGGTCATAGAGTTTATACTTAAGAGAACTCTATCTTCTTGGAAGATCACAACCAAAGAAAGATTTAAAGATTTCAACCTATCAATTAATTCAAGTACGCTTCCACTAATATAATATTTATTTTATTCTTGATGGTTTGATATGATTAGATCCTGATTTGATTACATATTTATTTATGGTTTGGTTCTAACAACTATTAGAATGTGTAGTTATGTTTGTTAACTGTAACCCCCTAGACCCGGCCTATGCGTTCGACTAAGTCTAGTGGATCACATTATGATTCTTAAAGACATTTTTCCGAAACCGTTATTAAATCAATGTAAAATCACATTATAAATGACATGAAATTATAATAAATCATACTATCAAAACCCAACTTGTAAATATAATATCAATAAGTAATAAATTAATTTAATACATATCTTAAAAAAAATCAAATCACGATAAACCGAATAGTAATAGCAAAAGTGTCATCATATTAAAATCCCATACTTTAAAATAAGGTCCATGTCAACAAAATAAAGTCAACTTGCAAGGTAAAAACATTACAATCAGATATACTTCAAGAGATATGTTGATCCTCCAAGTGCTCAATCCAGGGTATCTAACCAACAGTATCTGAAAGGGGGAAAACATTTTCGAAAAGTGAGCTAGGCTCAGTGTGTCCCAACATTACCATAAAATCACTATAGGTATACTAATCAAATCATAGTCCATTAAGTCCCATAAAATTATACTGCAGTAAATCTCTTTAAAAAGCGTTACCCTAAGGGAACATCTTAGGGCCTGAGAGCCTACCCAAGATAGATTTCGGGGCCGTGGGGCCTACCTAAGAACACATCTTAGGGTCGCAGGGCCTACCCGAGAATGATCTCAGGGCCGCAGAGCCTACCTAAGAGTCACATTAGGTCTGTAAAATTTTTCAGCTTGATCAGAGTTGTACTTTATAAATTCGTATTCCAAAAATTCAATTGCACCGTGTTATAAATTCCATAAATCCATAAACATGGTAATCATATACCATTTCAAAACAAATATCAGATAACAATCATAATCCATAAATCATCACATTAAATCGGTGCATCAACAATACGGTAACCAAAGAATTCAGTGTACCACATATTAAAACAAATAAAACAGTTCAATAATAAATAGGGAACACACCTCGGTAGTAGTTTCAAATAGTAGATCTACTGATTGCTGGTTTCACCACGCTATGCTATAGTTTTCGAACCTATTTTGTAGTAACACTATATTACTTATGGGTAACATAAATAAATCTCTAAAATCATAAAATTTACGGGTCTTACGGGTGAATACTGGCATACATGGTTTAACTGATCTAGAAGAGCTGGGTCGAGCTGTTGAACGATCCGGTGAAACTCGTGTACCTTCAAATAATAATAATTTATCAGCCCCAAATCTTACTTAATTGTTCAAAGCTAAAATTCTTAAGTATATAAGCATTTTCTGAGTTTGACTATCAATTTGGGGTATTTTGAGTCTGAATTTGGCCAAACGGATTGCGGAATCGGAATCAGGACGTCGAAAAACATAAAGTATGACTTTTCGAAAATTCAGATTCTTGGTCAAAGTCAAAGTCAACCACTTTGACCATCGATTTGGAGGCCTTAGGGTTCGAATTTGACAAAACAGATAGCGGAAATGGATTCGGCACATCGAAAACTATCAGGATAGGTATACTCGGAAAATATAAACGGTCATTTAATGCTCGGTCAAAGCCATTTTAAGTTTTGGTCAAAGAAAGTCAACGGTCAACGGTCAACGGTCGGGTCAACAGTCGGGTCGGGTCGGGTCAGTCAGGTCGGGTGAGACGGGTCGGGTCAGACCGGTCCAGACCGGTCAAACCGGTTCGAACCGGTTCAAAACTGGTCAAACCGGTTTTCCAGCAGCTCACTCTCCCTGCGGCGGCGCGTGCGGCGCGTTAACAGTGCCACGGTGTCGGAAAATTCCCGGAAAAATTTCTAAAAATTATTTTGAGCGATTTCGAGATACTTACAACGATCGGTTCAAATTTTTGAACGGCGGAGAGCTCGTATTCCAACTCGGCCGAATCTTAGACTGCTCCACCTCCTCATGCGCCGCCGTCAACGGCGAACAAGGTTGACACCGGTGGACTCGCAACAGCACAAGGAACACGATGGTGCAGGAGGTGTCGTAAACGGAGCAACGATCGGCGGTGAATTTGAGATTTTCTCGGTGATGGATCTAAAAATAACGTCGAGACTTTGACTGTAAATTCTCGACGTTTGGCAGCGTTTCACTTCAATTAATTTGAAGGGTTTGTTCCTCGCTTGAAGATGAACACAACGGTGGTTTCAAAACAACGATCGGAATTCGGACGGCGTCTGAATCGGGGTCGGAAACCGGCTTAAGGGGGGAGGAAATTGGGAGCATTTGATTTCTGTTTTCAGAAACCAAATACACGCATATAACATCCATTTCTACCTAATTTTATTGGGTAAATTCAGGGGTTGGTCCCTGAATTTTCTTTAACTTTATTACAAGCTCCAAGTTTTATAATCTTTCAATTTAGTCCCCAATTTTTGCCAATTTTCACAATTAACACCCAATTTCAATTAAATATTATTTTGTAAATATTCGGGTTGTTACATTAACTGTTACATCACGTACTTCATTAAATATTAATAATATGTGATTTAATTGATATCATTTAAACAGTTAAATGGTTTGGTTGATAAAGTTAAAAGATTAGTGATTACAATAAAATCTTTATATAATTAAGTGGTCATGAGTGTAGTTAATCCTATTATAATTCAAAATTTTAGGTAAACTACAATGATGTACACTAAACCTTATAGCGATTTCACTTTGGTCACCCAATTTTTAAAACAACAATATAATCACTAAAATTTTAATTCATTTTTTATCTCACTATAGTTAGTTACATTTAAAAAATTGATGTGACACATTAAAATCTTGATATTGTTCTTTCAGATTGACATCTATTGCTCATTCTTTCATTATTTTTTTTTGATGATGTTCATCCTATCATC